TATGGAAAGAAGGTTTCAGCAGCTTTTGTTTCTCTTTTTTTGCAGTTGTTTCAAATTTTCAATCTGCAATAACCGTATCACTCTGTTCAGCTACCTCAAACTCAACGGTGTAAGTGGGACATGGCCCCAGTGGCCATGACCCACTTAGGGCCTAGTTGCACCACTCTCCTTAGGCCAAGTTTCGCGAGTAGGTGCCTGGTTGCACTTACTCGCCAAACTTTACGAATGCAAAATGTATCAGACGGCTCGCCACACCGTCGACACAAGTTGTGGAGAGTGAATTCGGTTTCCCCGCCTGTGCACGGCGGTTTGTGGAGAGTGGTCCTCGGACCTGTCCACAAAACAGCTTCCTAGAGAGTGCAGGGCTTCATGAGGCGACATCAGGTAGAAAAAAAAAATTAACGTCTCTGTAGAACAAATATAATGGCGAGTAAGTGCAACCAGGACTCGAGTTCGACGCGATTCTCAGTTTTTTCACTCTCCATGCATCCGCCACGAGATGTGACCTATGGCGAGTAGTGCAACTAGGCCCTTACATGAATTAAGAGATATATATTGACTATAGATAGCACAGATCAAAGGTCAGAATCTCGTAATTCGTGTAAGTGGGACATGGCCCCAGTGGCCATGACCCACTAGCGAAGTATTCTAATTCGTTGGTGGCATTTTCTATTACGTGCCACTGAGGGTGACACAGGCAATCTGCGGATCGCGAAGTGCTATCCTCACATCGACCGCCCTGCCTGACGCACTTGGTTATACCGGCACACGGAAAGTACCAACCAATGAACTGCGTGAAATTGTGATTGTGTGCCAACTCTTTTTTTTTCGCTTTGACATTCTCGTTGATCTGGATTTCCAGACTTTTGGAAAAGGGGGAGGGGGGAGGGAGTTTTCAAGACTTCAAGGCGTTGCTGTTTAGGCCCTTTCCGTACTTAGAAAAAAAAAAAACAAGTGGCTGGCACCGACATAGGGCCTCGTTCCACTGATCTCCACATTAACAAAAGTGTAAGAACGTGTTGGTGCATCTTTCCGTGTTCACGCAGAACATTCACTCTTGTTTGGAAATTTGAAAAGGCGTGGAGCCAGGCCCGTATGATTCACCGCCTTCAGCCGCAAGATCTGAAATAGATCGGCACCCAAAGATCCCGTCTGACGCGGCGTCCAGTCGCGGTACGGGGGAGGCAGTTACGATAACCTACACCAATAAAGAAAAACGGAAATTATTATTATATTATTATTTATTTATTTTTCATTTACTTACGAACCATTAAAAAACGCAAAAACAACACTGTCATACATCGTAGATTACTTAGCTGGTGCTGGTGGGTCCACGCCCCAGGGGCCATGTCCCACTTGCACCGTTGAGTTAGCTCAACGTCGAGATTTCTATCAACGTGGGACGCGGCGCGACCTGGGAGATTCAAAATCGTAGGAGAATCCATCGGTTCTTCATTTTTCTGCAAAGCCACACGGTTGTTGTTTTCTTATTTATAACATAACCTCAAAGAAACTAAAAAAACTCGAATATAAAGCCCCCTACCGTCGCGTCCTAGCGTTGAGCTAGATGCCTCTCTTTTTTTGCGTTGTAGCCAGTTCAACGCAATTTTTATTTATATTTTTTTTGGGAGTTGTGTATTTTCTTCAATGTTACTTACCTGTTTCCGTTGTTGTTATCAGCTTGTCTACTGGGGCGTTGTGCCACTAGCAAAAAGAGGATCGGATCGAATGCCTGCATCTGGACGAGATTGTAGAGAGGTGCAGGAAATCGAGATTGAACTGCTTTTCTGCATCTCTGCATAAAACACATCCAGATTCGGGCATTCGATCTTTTTGCTAGTGGGACCTCGGCCCTGTTGACGTTTCAGTCATCGGTTATCCACGCTTTCTTTAGCTTTTTTTAATCCACGATTCAAGGGAGTGTTCTTGAGAGAGAGAGAGAGAGAGAGAGAGAGAGAGAGAGAAGACCTTCCAGGGAAAACGTCGGGGTAAAGTCCCACTAGCAGCGTAGTTTCCTCAACGCCTGAATCTGGGCGTGTTCCTGGAGATGTGCGGTTGGGGAACCTCGACGCGAATTCTGCACATCTCCACGAACACGTCCAGATTCAGGCGTTGACGAAACTCAACGCTGCTCGTGGGACTTCGCACACGGATCGATTTGCTCCACCGGAAAGAAAACGAAAACTCCAAAGAGATGTGTAGGCGGGAAAACAATTTTTTTTAATTTTTTTTTTCCCAATAAAACAGTTTCATATATTCCAATAACCATTTGAGGCCGGGGTACTCACAGTCTACCCGGAACAAACCAAGAGTCTGGGAGCATTACCCAGTTTCGCTATCGGGACATAGCCCCGCGGGGGCTAACCCCAATCAATTCCAACAGACTGAAAATTAACAAACGAATGCATTCTTCTTTTCTACAGAAAAAAAAAAGACAAAAAGTGTAACCGTGCAAGAAACCTAGCTCAACTCAACGGTGCAAGTGGGACATGGACCCCAGGGCCTCTTCTCTACTCGAAAATTTGCAAGATGAGAACTAGTCTTCAACTAGAATATGGAAAGATTCACTGCCACAATATTTCGTTTCTTATTGTGCTTTTTTTTTTTTTTTTAATCTGTGCTGAGTGCTCGAGCGAGGGCCTCAGATCATGTGACAAGCCTCAGTTTCACCAGGGCCGAGGTCCCACTAGCAAAGAGGATCGGATCGAATGCCTGAATCTGGACGTATTTTATGCAGAGATGCAGAAAAGCAGTTCAATCTCGATTTCCTGCACATCTCCACGACCTCGTCTAGATTCAGGCATTAGATCCGATCCTCTTTGCTAGTGGGACCACGCTCCAGTGGATTCCATACCAGGGCGAGGTCCCACTAGCAAAGAGGACTGGATTACGCCTCGATTTCGCCGCATTTGTGGACAAGTGCAGAAAATCGAGATTGAACTCCTTTCCTGCATCTCTGCCTAAAACATGCCCAGGTTCAGGATCTTAATCCAATCCCCGTTGTTAGTGGGACCATGCTCCAGGGGTGGAGTCCCATTCATAACTGAGTTGTCAGTTTCTGAGCCTAGATTACCAATTTCAAGGGCCAGAAATGAACAATCAGTGTTAAGTTGGAAGAAGCAGAGTAAGTGGGACTCTCCCAAGCAGAGTACGTGGGGGACTCGACCCCAGGGGCGAGGTCCCACTACAGTAGCAAAGAGAATTGGATTGAAAGCCTGAACCTAGACGTGGTCGAGGAAAGGTGTAGAAAATCCAGATTAAACTAATTGTTTCTGCATCTCGGCTTAAAACACGTCCAGATTCAGGAGCTTAATACAATCCTCTCTTACCGTCTTACCCCGAACATAACGCACGCCCCCTGATTCTGAATGTATACAGACCATCTTTCCGTTTGGTTGCAGTCACGACGAGGGTGCACCATAACACGCCCTGATTGTGAATGTATACAGGCCACCTTTCCGACTGGATGCTGTCATAACGAGGGTGCGTTGTCTTCGTACTTCGGTGACGACGGTAGCGTGCGTGGGTTTTGTCCTCTTTCGAGTTCTTTTTTTCCTCTCTTTTTCTTCCCATGTATTTCAATAAACGTGGACACAGAGGAACTTGGGCCCAGTACCCGCTACGCAGGTATTAATTCCTATCAGCAGCCGCACTTGTCTGTCCCTCAAAGCACCAGCAGTTTTACGAATATGTCCCTCTGAGCACCAGCAGGTTTACATCTGTCCCTTCTTAACCCACGCAGTTGTACATATATATACTGTTCAAGTTTGACAATATATGGCCCTCTCAGCACCAGCAGTTTTACATGTCCCTTTCCGCACCTGCTGCTTCACATTTTTCTCCCTTCGACAGGCTTCTGCGTGACGACATAGAACAGGACGGACGATACTCTTGACTTAACGGACTCCCCATCCTGCTAATAGAACTGCGATCATCGCCAACCCAAAAAAACAAAAACAAAAAAAAACAAAAAAACACTTGAAAAAGAAAAAAATACGCCAGGGACCAATTCTTCGTTTAGGGGAAAAAAAACAAAAAACAGTACGAGCAAAGCTTCATGTCAGCTGGAATTTATCGCCATCCTCCAACCCACAAGTATAACCGACGATGTTTCGCAACTTCTGCTCCCTCTATCTAAACTTGAACTGTATCGAACCTCAATCACGTCTTCATTAATACTAGTAATAAGGTGGTCGCCCCAGTGTGAAACGTGCCTTGAACCAGAAAATAAGCCCTAGTGCGACCCTTCCTTAAATCACAAAATGAGGACGAAAATCGACTCTATCTAAACCTAAAATGTGTCTCCCCTCAATCACGTCTTCTTTCACAATAAGTCGGTAGAACGTGCCTTGAAAAGAAAATAAGCATCATTGAATTGAAATTACATTGATTCGAATTAACCTTGAAAAAATCCAATTGAAAATTACACTGATATTTGTGGAGGCATTCCCGGCCTCCTCCTTTTGTGTGGCAATAACATGAGCACGGCCTTTGATTGTAAAAAAAAAATAAAAATAAAAAAATTGAAAATCCGAATTGAAAACCGAATTCAAAACCGAATTGAAAACCGAATTGGAAACCGAATAGAAAGTTACACACGAATAATACGGCCATGTGAGCCTTCGTTTTGAAATTAAATTAACACCCATTTTTTTAGAAATTACACACGAATAATACGGCCACGTGAGTCTTCATTTCGAAATTAAATTAACACCCCTTCTTTTTCTTTTCTTTCACACCACAGAAACAAAACACGACTCCGAAAATAATTTAAAAATTAAAAGAGGGTTCACCGCTCATTCAGCAACAGCATTGTTAAATGACGACAGCACACTTGAGACGAAGTTTTCCCGAAAATAATTTTGAAGTTCAAGACACGGTTCGAACTTTTAAACACGGTTATAACCTCCAAACCAAGAAGTAGATTTCACTGACTACAGGATTCGAGGTTAAGGTAAATAACGCTGAAGCAAAGTGCGGCACGTAATTACTTTATTATCCACATGGCCTGCGATTGATTGATCAACGGATCGACCCACTGGCCGATCAATGCACCCTAATCACTCATTAAGTCAACCAATCAACCAACCAAACCGATGCACGAATCAACCAATCAACCAATCAATGCACGAATCGACCAGTCGATCGTCCACTCTCGTAATCGGGCCGATCGGCCGACGAACAAATCCAACCATCAATCAATCGATCAATCCATCACAAGCAGCATTGCGCTGCACAATACCTCCTCTTACAAAAATTTCGGGCCCTCCTTTCTTTTCTCTTCTTTTTTTTGTGCAAGAGCGCGATGTCGGACTCTTATACTTTTCCCCCGCCGGAAATACTTTCCACGAAATGAGACGCTCGTTGACTCTTTCCCCAGATACTGCCAAAATCCTCGGTCCGCCCCCCCCCACCCTCCCCCGGGCCTTGCGGCCCCACCCTACTCCCTGACAGCCACTGGGAAAACTCAACTCGCTCGTAACATTATTTTAACATTATTTACCAAAAAAAGCAAACCGAACCAAATGGAACAAACAAGATTGTGTAGAAATTGATAAACTGCGCAGAACTCGACAATATTAAGGGGAGGGGGGGGGGAGGGAGGGGGGGAGGGTTTCAGGGGTCGAGAACAAAGAAAAACTTTCGGAGACGTCAACGAAACCTAAGCTCTCCCAATGCGGCAGTGATAGCTGGTAAGGAAATTCCCTCCGTCAGCGGTGATAATTAAATTTCCTCCGTTAGCGGTGATAACTACATTCCCTCCGTTAGCGGTGATAAGTAAATCGCCTCCGTTAGCGGTGATAACTAAATTCCCTCCGTTAGCGGTAATAACTAAATTCCCTCCGTTAGCAATTTCCTCTGTTAGCGGTGATAACTAAATTCCCTCCGTTAGCGGCGATAACTAAATTTCCTACGTTAGAGGTGATAACTAAATTCCCTCCGTTAGCAAATACGATCTATAACTCGTTGATATGACGCGATTTCGATATCCGATGTGCCGGTAATGATTACCTCCGTTAGCAGGAGGGGGAAGGTGTCGTCAATCACCACCTATTATTCTCGCTATATTCAATTGATAAGGAAAACAGAAAATCCCATTGGGGTGGAGTGTGGTAGGGGGGGGGACCACCTAGTTTCGAGCGTGCACGATGAGACAAACGGGGAACTGCAGTGCTCTCGCTCCCTTATTTTCTCCTCCTCCCCGGGTCACTTCCTCTCTCTTGGTGTGGTTCATCTCTCTTCCCTTAATTAATTAGCGAAGGAAGAAGGCAATAGCCGCCATAGCGAACGCCAATTGCATCAAAACTGGGATGACAAGCGTAACGGCGCCTGACGGCTGCGCACTCGACGGCGCGGAGCTGGGAACCGTCTTTGGGCSGACTKGTTGAGACGCCTGAGRAAGTTCAGACGGAACCCGCGACGGYCCCTGCGACAGGGAGGGGTCAGCGGRARCARTTTSCAGCGMCCGTCTCCAGTCCTCCCCGCCGCAAACGTCRACGTAGTTGAGCGCTAAGATCGGGTATCCGTTCGTCGCGAGCTGGCGGAAAAACTCCCCCATGCACATCTGATCGAACTTGGAAGCCTCCAGAACGTCAACCATCAGCGCATCCACCTTGCTGCAGCAAGCTCCCGCCTTCCCCGCCCCGTTGCGCATCGAGCTAGACACCATGCTGCAATCGTCCTTCAAAGAACTGAAATCCACTCCCCGCATGTCGCACACATCCTCCGCAGCCTCGGCGGCAGAGACTCTGTATACCAGACCGCAGAGGAGAACGACGATTAAAGCCCCTTGCAACGAGCGCGCCATTGTCACTCTTCAACGCCTGCAATACCAGAGACGGAGATAGAGCGCCTGTTGCAGAGATAGAACTGCCTACGACCTGGTTGACGTTTTCCGCACTTGGGCGTAATTCCGCACTTGGGCGCTTGCAGTTTTCAACACCTACGACTGCGCAAGCGAAATGAGCGATGGCAGCGATGGCACACAAGTGCGGAGAACGTCAACGAGACCGCAGGCGAACGGAGGGACAGACGAACAAAGAAAACTAGCGAAAGAGAGAGAGAGAGGGCGGGAGAGGAGCAGATACACCGAGCAACCCAATCGGCTCGTGGAAGGCGGGGATTTCGCTCGGACGGCTGTGCAATTTATTTTACGTTATGCGTATCATCCGAAGAAGGCGGGAACTACCGATATGGTTGAGAATAGAATTATTTACAATTGCGGCTTTACCGGGATGCATCTGGCTGCAGTCACGTCCACATTCTTAGCTGAAAAAGTACTTGTGTGAGGGCCGGATCCCATCCCACTGGCAAAGAGGAGTGGAATGAATGAGTGTCTGAATCTGGACGTATTTGGCTCGAGGTGCAGAAAACTGTCATTGATATCCTTTTCTGCATCTCTGTGTGGAACACCTCCAGATTCGGAAACTTATTCCAATCAAGTCCTTGCCAGTGGGATCTGGTCCGGAGTATGCCCTGAGCTACCAGTAGGCCCATCGGTGGGGCTATGGTTTCCTAACCCCTCGGTTCTTCCGATTTTAGCGGACGTCCCCACTTCCATTTCTGGAAAATGGGCTCACTAACTAAAGTGGGATCCAAGCCTGTCGAATCTGGACAGGACGGCCTTTCAGGCCTTGTTTCTTGCCTATTCAACCAATTCAAATACCTGTCGAATCTGGACAGGACGGCCTTTCAGGCCTTTTATTATTGTCATTATACTATTACAGTATTACGGGGAACCCCGTAGCAGCCTCCAAATAGAGGGAACATGCGGGAGCTGCACCCACCAGCAGGTACGATACCCCTGCTACAGCAGGTGGGCGATACTGGCCAGGGGTCAGCCCCGGTAGCATCAGGACCGAGCTTCTTCGGCGATGCGGGTGCCTCCCCTCCGGACCCCACCCAAGACCTCCTGAATGCCACTTGCGTGGCTTACCAACTGAGCTAGGCCGCTGGATACCACTTCCATTTCGATGGATTGTGGACGTCCGCCGTCGATCTTCAGTGCATGCTCACACGAGGACGGATGTAGCAATTTTCTAAATGAATCTGATTACAAGTACGGCTTTACCTGGATGCATCTGACAGCAATCACGTCCACATCTCAGTAGAAAAAGTACTTACGTGAGTATGCCCTGAGCTACCGGTAGGCCGATCGGTGGGGCTATGGTTTCCTACTCCCTCGATTCTTCCGATTTTAGCGGACGTCCCCACTTCTTTTTTTTTTTCATTCAATTACTCATTTAAAATTGGGTCCGGCCCCCCACAATATGGCCGGTACTGGGAGGTTTACCAGCTTCCCTTTTTACGAGACCAAATGGTCCCGAATTGGAACCAGAGGTACACAAGGACTAAGATACTACTGTAAGTACAAGAGGGGTAGGGTAACATGAGAGAGGAAGGAATGTGGTTGGGGTAAAGGGGGAGATGAGAAGGGAAGTTGAGGTTGGGTAGGAAGACCATGAGGTGTGAATAGGGGGAAAAAGGATGGGCTAGAGATAGATATTTTTTATTTTATTTTATTTTAATAACGTGCCCGGTGCCCAAGGCTGACATTTCCAATAATAAGATTGAGGCCGAGAAGGAAGTTATGGTAATACTCCTAGGGGTTTAGAGACACCAACGGTTACAGGGGTTAGGCCTAAAGTCGGCCCGGGTTTTAAGTTCTACAGGTCTATTGCTGACTACATGTTGTATGTCAAAGTCCTAGTCTAAAGTATCTACTACCTAGAACACGCCTAAAAGCGGCCTGGCACCGAGCTAAACGATCGATTGGACCTTACCGGGTCCTGTGTTAAAGACACTCTTCCACTTACTTCCGCTGAGGCCTACTGTGGCCTAGAAACCGAGTGTCTTGGTCAGAGAAGGATGGTATGATTAGTTGTGGGGGTAAGGGGTAGGAGGTGGGGTGGGGTGGGGGTAGGGAGTGGGGTGTATGGAGTGCAGGTGTGTGGCTGGGAATAGGTGTATGGGGTTGATTGGGGAGGAGGTGTTGTCAACCGGGATCAGGTGTGAAGAGGTGTGTGAGAGTGAGATTGAGTTAGGAGGTAAGCCATTGGGAGATAACCAGTTTGCCCTCCAGATTGACTGCAGCCAGTTGGTTCTCTTGCCCATGTGACCAAAAACCAGTGTCGACCTCTGTGGGTGCTGCCCTTGGATGCTCTTCGCGCCCAGTCGACGATGATCATTGTTTGAATGGTAGCTTTGATTCTTTGATGATAGCCTCATCCACTGTCCATTGCTGCTCAAAGACTATATTGTTCCTGTTTGTCCATATGGTCCACAAGATTGCAGATCTTATCGCTTGTGCGACGTAGCCCCTCCCTCTGTCTCGAAACCAGTTAACAGGAAGTTTGCCATATAGCGCCCATGCTTCGTCCCAGGATAGCACATTGCCCATGAAAGTCTGCCAATGCTTGTTCCATCATCGCCAAATACGCTGTGAAGTTGGGCATGACCAGACAAGGTCGTTCAACGTTTCCTCTGCTTTATGCCCGCATCTGAAGCATTTGGTGGGAAGATCCATCCCTTTCTCGAAAAGCCAAACTGCACATGGAAGAATCGGGTGAGTAGTAAGCATCCACAGGAGGCTGGCCATCTTCAGAGAGGGGAGTCTGGGGAGTTGGGACCAGAGAGCTGTGAGATCTGCTTTCTGGATCGGGAGGGTTGTTTCTGCAGCCAGATTAAGCTTTTGGCAAGCGGTCTATGCATTATTCGTTTCTTTGCTCAGTATTAGCCTTCCCAAAGAGGTGGAGTATTGGAAGAGAAACTGCGGATCGCCCTTATTATCACGCCAGAAGATAAACATTGGGTCTATTCGCTGTTGTTGGAGAGGTGTATCAACGAGGAGCAGTTGATGTGTGGTGGCTCCTGCTAATGAGGTACGGGTGAACATGTATAAGTGAAAGAGGTGAGCCTGCAGAAAGACAAAAATCTTGGTCTTGTATCAGGAGGGTCTTACCCTGCTGAGCACAGGGATTTCAGCGAGGGACTCGACAGTGGTGTTCGCCCAACTGCTCTTCAATTCTGAGATAGGTTGTCTGGGTCACCTCATCCTTTTGGTGGTCGTCCTGATGGTACCATTCCCCCAAAATGGGTTCCTTGGCCCTCAACAGGGAGTGTCACTCCGGTGGTATTGCTTCTAGGAGAAGTTGCAGGTTCAACTCCACGTATGGCAGTGGACGAAGTTTCGGTCTAAGTTGATTAGCGTTCTTCCAGCTATTTGAGTGTTCATCCCATAGATCAGCAACACAGGAGATTCCTCTTTTCACCCAGCGTCTCCCGAAGGCTCCGCCAGGTTATGTGGTTGGCACTGGGAGGCCATCTTGATTGTGATGCAGTAGTTGTCGAAGAGTGGTTGACGGAGGACCTCCTCTCTAGTTGTTGGTTGTTTGCAGTGGAAAGAACTGAGAGCTCTCCAAGCAGTCCAGGATGCTGCAATGAGAGGTGATTTAGGTATTATACGCACGAAGGAAGACATGAAGATGCAGGTCCATATGTCTTCAGGGCGACTGAGCCTGAATTCCTTCTAAACCAAGTACTAAAAAATGGTTAGCCATCTCCTTGATTTGTGTGTGTACATGCTCTCAAGAACCACTTGAAGAGGAGGGTCAGGTTCTGTGTGACTCGATCAATAATACCTTGCCCCTTTTTCGATTTGGGAGCAGCTACCTTGGTCCATGCACATTTGGTGATGTATCCTTGACTCTCTTCTTCCTCCGGCTTCCACACGAAGCGAGCTCAGTCGGCCTTCATGTTCTTGGTGGTGTTCTTGGAGATGAGAAAAACGGCAATAACGTACCACAGTTGTGCAAAGACCAGGGAAGTGATCAACAATGCTCGTCCATATAGTGACGCTCTGGGGGATGCACGACAACGCTTAAGGGAGGACATTGTCTTGGCTAACAGTATTGTGTCTTGCTTGGTTTTAGGATCTCTAAGCAAAACCTGCACGCAGAGATAACGCTTCAAGGCTGACGTTGTGATCCTTGTCATACCCCAGTCTGCTTCGAGAAGATAAGGCTCCAAGAGAAAGTAAACTGATTTGCTACAGTTTACTTATGATTATGAGAGGTTGGAATAGGAATTCAAGATCCTTTTGACCTTTGTCAGCGAGTCTGGTTCTGCCTCGGACAGGAGTAGGAGATCGTTAGCAATAGCGTCAGTGATGAAGACGTGGTCTCCTCTTAGTTGTAGCTCTCTCATCCGTGGTGATGCACGCAGTGAGTTGAGGAGGACTTCCATTTGAACGACGAAGAAGAGTGATTCGAGCGGGCAGCCTGTCTGAGAGAGCGTGAGAGTGAGAACATCGGGGTTTGAAACCCATTGATAAGTAGGGATGTTGTGTAGAGCGCCTCGACCCAGGTTTTGTATGCTGGTCCAAAGTTCATGTGCTGCAGCGTGGCGGGCACAAAGGACCAGTTTACCCGGTCATAAGCTTTTTCCAGATCCAGCATGGCCACCACTGGCCCACTAGGACCTGACGGGATTCTGCTTCGATAATCTTCAGCACCCCCATCGCTGCAAAGATGTTCTATGTGATCAGTCTTCCCTGTACAAAAGCTCCTTGATCAGAGTGTATGAGGCTTGATAGATAAGGAGCAAGACGTCGTGCAAGCAGCTTCGCCAGAATCTTGTAAGAGACATTTAGTCTCCAGATCGAACGAAAGTTTCAGATGTTACGCTTGTCTCCTTTTTTGTAGATTAATGCGATCACGCCTGTTCGTATGTCCTCCCTCCAAGATATGGTTGAAGATGCTCAGCAAGATCGGACCGATTGTATCCCGAGATGCTTCATAAAATTCAATTGGCATGTCGTCCCCTCTTGGACTCTTACCTCTGGCCATCACCTTGTCGGTTTCCTTGCGCTCCTCCAACGTGATCGGTCTGTCTAGTTGGAGTCTGGCTTCTTGTGGGAATGTTGTCTCGGTGTGCTGCCATAGGTTGTCTTCAAGGTGAAGTTGCTGGAGTGTGAGGCCTGGAGGTCTCCTGGACGTGAGTATGTCTTGGTAGAGTTCCAGTGCATACTCTCCGATTGTCTCGGAATCGGTGGCAAGATCAGCTTGCGGTAGAAAGGGATGCAACAATTCTCTGAAGAGAGTGTGGGAGCGGGGGGGGGGGGCA